GTTATTGAGGCTCATTTACTTCAGATTAAACTTTAGAATGTATTTTTACACAGGACTTCTCACACATACAGTATAGTCATACCGCACAAATCAATTGTCCAAGTTTTACAAAAAAAAAAAAAGTTGAAAACTAAAACTAGAGCCTGAAAAGTTGCAATATAATGTTGCTTCCATGTACTCTGTTAACACCAAAAGCACTATGATAAATCTAAATTTTCAATCCACCGGGGTGAACAAACACTCCATCAATAAAGTGTGAATGTCGCCTCTGAATGTCTACCAAATCATGTGCAAAATTATTCACAGACAAAATAAAAATCTGTGTATTTTTGATGTGTGATGAATAATGATTCCATAGGTATCCAGAAAACACAAAAACTAAGGTCTATTCAATGAGTCTACATTTACAGTATAGGTAGGTAATATACATTTAACAGTAAGCATGTCTTCACACAATAATTTGCTATGTAGCAATGGATAGCAACAGTTTTAAAGGTAATCTGACACTATACATTTGAATTTAATGCAGAAAGGACTAAAAGAGACACAAGACATACACTGCTCAGAATATCTGAGATGTGTGTGAGTGTTTGCCTGAAGAGGGAGTGGTCTAGCTGTTTTCCCTCTCAGGGTGGGGTAAGGGGTGTGGGTGGGGGTGGGGTTGTTTGGCTGAGTGAGTAGACACTAGTGCCCTTTGTCCCCCCTCTCTAGCCTGGTATGACTCCTGGAAAGTGGAGCCCGGGCCTGTAAAGTGTTGGTATGTTGAAGTGGCCAGGGTGAGAAGAGTGTCTGTTGATGTAGCAGTTATAACTGCTGGACTTAGCTGCTCTGTGTGGGGTTAAGCTCTCGAGCTTACGTTAAGAGCGGTCACAGATAATTGAAAAATGCTTCCTAAATTTATTTTCCAAAAGTGGTACAGTTATAAGCTGGGTTAACCCATTTTTTCTCACTGATAATACATGCAAAAAAAGTTGCACACCATGAGGGTCTTTAAACTTCAACAATCAAACTAATAATGTTCATATTTTAAAAGATTAGACTCTGCCTCCACCTAGTGGTCAGTTTGATGCATTACATAAAGATTCAGTAAAGCAGCTGACAATCTGAGATAATTAGGACGTGTCACATAATAATGATTTAATAGAATCAAAATAATTACCTTGAGCTTAACTGATGCCTCAGATCATCCCTGCCATAACACTGTTGGGAGTACGTGCCCTCCTGAAAACAAAATCACAATTACAGCAATCTTAATCTTAATCTCTCCTCGGATTGGAAAACTGTGCAAATGAGGATATGAAGATTATTGTGTATGACGTTGTTGGGAACAAAAAGGCATACAAACAATTAAACAAATGCTATCTAGCATTTTGTTGTTCACTTTATATATAACTTTATATATTCAAGATACAAGTTTAATATCCATGCATACCGAGCTTATCTTACATTTCTTGAGGGGGAAGAATTTCTGCGGAAGTTAGTGTTGTCATCAAAGTATCGACGATCACTGGGCGGGTAACTGCCTTCGTCGTGACATTCTCTTGAGTCCTGGTAATTTCGAGGACCACCATACCACTGGCCATCATTAAAGCCTCTGTCAAATTCTATCCCTGGCCGATGTATAGAGCTCCTCTTTTCAACAATATTGACAACTCGATGGACTGTCACCTGAAATGAGACAATGTAATATTTTATATGTCTATATGTTCAGCCTTAGCAAAGATTTGACTTAATAATAACTCAACATAGTAGATAGCATGCTGTTCAAAGAGCTACAGATTTCAGTGTAGATAGTATCTCCGTCGAAAAACTTCAGGGCTTTAAAAATAGTTGTTCTCTACACAAAATTTGAATGAAAAATGTTTGGAAGTACCCCTATTTTAAACCTTAACATTACATATCCCTATGACAACAATTGACATTAAATTGTCTAAATTTAAATTATAATGTTACAAGTAATTTCTCATTAAGACCTGGATCATTTAATGCTGCCCTACTCCAATAAAGATGTCTCAAGAGACTAATCTCTGCAGTCTAAAATCAATATCCCCCTAAACAGTGACTTATAAAAGAAGAAAAAGTGAATGAATACTGCCATAAATACCTACCTCATGATAGCAAAGCCTGTTAACTAATCAGTTCTCCCTACTAATGGCCAAAGGGGTTTAGTCAATCCAATATATTTTGGCCATGCAAAACAACATTTTCCTTTACCTCTCTTGAATCCATTGCTGAGAACTGCTCTTCATATGCCTCTCTAATTGATTTTCGACCACGTTGATATGCCACTGCAAAAAAAGAAGTGTGTGGCACTGAGTATGAGTTCAAAGTACAGCTATGAAGTCACTTTTGAACTGTGCAGAACATGTAACAAAGCTTTGATTTGACACACAGGCAGTCAAGACAATGGCCTTACTGAGTGCACTTATTGAATAATACTATGGTACATTAGTGCTGTGTCTTTATCAGCAGTGGACTACGCAGTGCAGGAATGCCTTGATGCAAAGTGTTAGGTTTCCTCTCCACCATGGTGAAGCCACATATTGGAGTTCCTCTGACAGTGGGCCAACAGAGGCAGGCTTTGCTCTGTTGGCTGTAGGTACCCTGCATAAGACCACTGAGGTGTTAATAGGGTTTGGGAGGTAGAAGCTGTTGGCTGACCACCTCTCCAGCTGTCATTTAGGCTTGCAAAGCCAACCCACATAATTAATTTCACTAAAGGCGTTCTGGCAACACTCAATAGGCATGTACTCGGGACAGACATCATTTCAAGTAGGCTCTACAATAGATGATTGATGCTGACAGTTTTCTCCTTCACTACATTGTCATGACCCCACTCTTATACATGCTTGGGCAAATGCATCACTCACTGGCCTGTCAGTAGTCTTTTCTTCCAACTTTTCTAAATGATAAAACTCTGCAGCAGTGAAATATGGAGTTGAATGAATATGTGGTGGAAAAATAAGCGATGTCATCAGAGAATTGTATTTTAGTATCTACAAGAATGGCATATATGTACATCCAAATTTAGTGTGCACAAACATTACAGTACTTCATCACTGAGGTGATTACTCATGTCATCAGCAACAGTCTGCATAGTCCACTGATTGGTTTGCAGCCTCCTTGATTAAGTTTTTCTCACTGGATGTTTTCTAGACTAAAATCCTATAATAAAAACAGGTCTCCTGAGATTTGGACTGACTAGTGGCTGAAATTACCTCTCTCATCAAACCAAAGAAGTACCAATGTAGGAGCAGGAGGCTACAGAGACAGGTAACAATGAATCCATCCTCCCGTAACACTGACATCTTAAGACACTGGTAAATGCGCACAGGACAAAGCACTACAACTCTGTGTACAGGCTCATACTGACTTGCAGTCCAGTTCGAGGTTAAAGTCTGAATGAAAGACTACTAATAACATTGTTATGCTTGTAAAACGTAAAACTTACTGTTGAACGAATGATTTTGGTTCACTGTCTGGTGTGCCCAAGATGTCTCTGTAGAGCGTGACAAACCTATAAGAAGGATAAAGAGTATAGCCTTGTTTATCTGACCTGGCATAGGCATATTTACAGTCGACCACTCTGGACACACAGGAACAACAGTCTTATAGCACACACACACACACACACACACACACACACACACACACACACACACACACACAAGCTCAGTTCAACAACATTTCTACACCATCCCCACCCACAACTCTGCTATAACTGGGTGTCATTCACATATCCCTGAGGAGACAGTAGTCTGGTAGTAGTAGCTTTTGACATTCCACAAGTCATTTATTTAAGCCACTCCTTCAAGTATTTGCAGTTGTTATGAACACTTAACTAATGGGTCCTCTCCCACAACCATACTTCACTTTCAGACGGTGACTTCTTGAAGAGGGGGGGGGTACTTGTTATATTTTAACTTAAAGTAGTCAAAATGTCAAAGAGAAACATTTAAAGAGCGATAGATAAAGTACGAGTGAGAGCCACTGCTCTTTGCTGAAATGCATGTTGTTATTATGACTGGATGATGAAGGTCTATGGCGTTAGCATTGCTGTTAGCACACCTACGCAGTTAGCATCACAGAACAAGAGAAAGTCGAAAGATACTGACTTACCAAAGAATGATTTGATTTTGAGCTTCACATATTTATCCTACTGCTGAAGGGACACTTCTACTGTAATCCAAAACAATCCAGACTCTCTCTTTATGTACATGTGCAAGTAAAACCAAAACAACCCTAGCTACAGAGCCAGGCACAGCTCCAGGATACACCACTGGACATAACTCCATCAGCACTGTTGTAGTTCCTGTCTGCTCTTCTTCGCTGAACAACGTGCTTTAAGAAAAACAGTGCGCTGCCCCCCTCTGGTGGCGACTGGTGGTAATGTCCAAACTTGATAGTGGTCGGGGTTAGAGGAAAACCTTTTATTTCAGTGAAGTAGCAATAACTTAATTTAAAAATAAACAGTCAAAAGATAGAAATATTGAAATTGAAGTATCAAAAATACTAATTATTATTCAATACACTGTTTATGTAGGCCTGTGGTGAATATAGTACCACTTTATTTTTGTTTTTCGTATTTCATATTGTAGATGCTCATAATGAAGATAATAGTCTAGTGTTTTTTTAAGCTTAACTATCTATACTATGTATATGTAACTTGTTGCTGTGACAATTAAGTTCCCTGTGTGGGAAATACACAAGTATGTAGCCAGTAAAAAAAAATACATGACTCAAGTCTTCAAACACAGAAAAGAAAGAGAAAACATCCCACACTAATCTCTATGAATCAGTGTCAGCTCTGTGGCAAATCCCATCCTACACACGTTAGTAGTCTCTCCAGTTTTTGTGCACATTTTCTTACTTTCCCATCCCTCATTAAAGCCCGTGTACGTGCTCACCCACTCTCCCATACCACGCTGTAAATTCTACAAAGCGCCTTTCATCATCGCTGTGTCACATTTGCCGTCTCTGTTGTGATTACATTGAAAGTGATTGGGTGAATCCGCATCACGTGACCGTCCTTCTAGAGGACTTTCCGCGACAGCTGAGAAGCAGCTAAATGCGTTTTTTCACCTGTAACACTGAGCCTTTTCAACTCCGGCGAGTCCAAGTTTCTTAAAATGGGAGACAAGAAGAGCCCCACAAGGTAAAACTGTCGCTAGTGTGTCTGAATGAAGACTTTATGGGGCCGTTTGGTAACAGAAAGCTCGGTGAATGGATGGAGCTCTTTTACTGAACTGTTCATGGCGGCTGGGGTTGCTGCTTTAACACCGTGCAACTGTGGAAACTGAAAGCTCCCTCTTCCTTAATGACTGACTTCTGAGTTACACTCGTGTCTTTCCTGTTCGGTCAGTCTTTATCTAACAAGGTTTCTTTGAAATGCGTTCGCTTGTTGAAAATGTGACGTTATTACTGTGTTTTTGTTTTGTTTTTTTTGTTTTGTTTTTTTATCTGAAGGCCAAAGCGACAACCCAAGCCCTGCTCCGACGATGGGTACTGGGACTGTAGCGTCTGCACGTTCAGGAACAGCGCTGAGGCGTTCAAGTGCTTGATGTGTGATGTTAGGAAGGGGACTTCAACTCGGTAAGAATAACTGTGGCTGTTCATTTTAAAGCGAATAGAAGAACACCGAAGAACTATTTTTAATTGTCCATCGCATTATGTTTTTTTTTTTTTTTTTTTAAAGTACACCCACTTGCAGGTTTGTTAAGGACACCTACGACAGCACTGCAATACGTCTTCATCAAGGGGTTTAATGTTCAGTTGTTATTGATTTATTAACTTTATGGACATTTCAGAGACTGTAGTCCTCAGTATTTTTTCTGTTTACAGATTTCCCCACTTTTGTTTTATTCATAGCCATTGGAGGCCATTAAAACTTTCCTTAAAGTGAGGGGGGAATGCAGAAAATGCATATCAACAGTTGACTGAATGAATAAAATCTGAAAAAAAATCAAAGTATTCTTGTGTCCAGTCAAAATTGACAGTTGTTGCCAGGACTTTGACTTGGGTATTTTTGCCCTATTGTAGTCCATTACTACAGACTTTGCAGATTCCTGCAGTGGGTGGACAGTAAAATCACTAACTTTGGAAGATACACGCTTGGTTTAACAAACACAGACTGCTGACTGCTAACTTCAGATAAACTCAAAGTACTTTACACAGAATGGGGACGGTGGATTCTGTCGCCCATCACTTGTATTGGAACTGCATTAATAAGGGGTCTCTTCATGGCCAGGAGAAATGATTACAGCAAGCAAAACCTGTTTCATTGTATATATGACTGCTGTGTTAAGACAGTCAAAAGCCTCATTTCTCTTGGTCATACTGAACAGTTACACAGTTGTCAGTTCAAGCCACAAGCTCAGCCTACTTGCAGCTTCAGTGATTTAAAATTAACTATGAGGCCAACTAACTTTTTTTTTTTTTTTTGGTCTCTTTCAGAAAACCACGGCCTGTTTCTCAGCTGGTTGCACAGCAAGTAAACCAGCAGTTTGCACCACCCACACACCCCAAAAAGGAGAAGAAAGAAAAATCAGAGAAAGACAAGAGTGATAAAGAACCAACACTGAAAAAGAAAAGCCATAAAAAGTTGAGGTAAGGATGAATTCATGAATGAATGAATGAATCTCTGATCTTGTTTCCACCAGTGAATTATTAAGTATCCACCAAGCAGTTTTCAAATCCTGCTTCTGTTTGTCTCTTCACCAGGCCCAGATTAAAAAACATAGACAGGAGCAGTGCCCAGCACCTAGAGGTCACGGTTGGAGACTTGACTGTAATAATCACAGACTTTAAAGAGAAAGCCAAACCCATTTCCACATCAACAAGTGCTGCCTCAGCAGACCAACACAGTCAAAGTGGCTCAAGCTCTGATAACACTGAACGAGGGGTCTCCAGATGCTCTTCGCCCCACGGGGAAGGCTCGTCGGTTAACGGGGAAACTCACTAACCTTCACACTTCACACTTACAGTCTGCACAACCTGTTCTTCTGCACTCTCAACAGCCTCAACCAGAGATCAAACTTCAACATGCACGTTTTTTTTTGTTTTTTTTAAATAATACTATAAATGCCAATATGATAGCATCCTCTTCCACTTGGGGTTGTATTGTCCACTGCCTTCCAATGATGGTAAAGAATTCAGGAGTCAAGATGTATGCTGTACGCTCAATTCAAAGAACTGTCGCAGCAAGATCCATCACGATGAACTGAAAAGAGGAATTAGCATTAAAACCTGGATGTCAGTGGAACTGTGCCATGCGTTGTGGTGACTTTTGTTTTAACCACTCAGTGTCACAACTCAGTTGGTCATTGCCGCACAGAATAAATGATACGTTATGAAAGAAAATACGAAGATGACATCTCAGAATTGTAGTCTGTCCTTGAGTTTTGTTATCATTGTTTGCACTTAATGGCATCCTATGTTCTGGTTCATGATAACATTTTGTTTTTAGCATTATTTCCACTTTGCCATTATCAGTAAATCATAACACTGTCAGCCACTGGCCTTTATCCAGCTCTCATTTTATACTGTCTAACATTTGAGTAAAAATATTGAATAATTATTCTAACTATGCTTCTCTTCTAGAATGGTTTATATTGTAAAATAATGTTAAATAAAATAAGTTGTAGATACTGAGACATGTTTTTATTTTTCATCATAAACAGGAATGGGTTGTAAGACGCATTGATTTCATTCAAGTTCCCTTTATCGGAAAACAAAACTTTTAAAGTTATCGGCTTTAGCATTTCCATAGGTACTGGGTTGTATTTTTGAATTTGAATGGTTTTCCCATCATGACTGACATGTTCTGTAAAGGCAACACATGAAATAGACAATAGAGTTTGTATTTAACTTGTGTTGCCAGTTCAGGTCTGTCAATGAGTTGCCCAGACTTCACTGTACTGTGTGTGTGTGTGTGTGTGTGTGTTATTAACTTTCACCCTGTTTTTTTTACATGTGTTGTGGTTGTAGTGAAAAATTCCTCTTGAGAGGAAGGCCCTAAAAGCAGCGGTGGAAACTTAACTACATGAACTGTACACTATAAATATAACTTGAGTATTTTCCACCTACTACTTTTATACTTTATACCATTACATTTATTTGACAGCCCATGTACTTTGGACGTTCAAACTTTACAAACAACATGTGATCACTTATACATTATGATTCATTGTTATAGATTTTACATCATTTAAGTGATGCTTACACAATGTAATCAGTAATTACAATCCAGTGATACCTTTGATACTTAAAGTAAACCATGCTGACTTCTGTGCTTTGACTTTCGTTGGTGGACATGTACCTGTACACACCACCTCCACAGTCCTCATGGTTTTAACTACCACATGCCAAGAGCTTTGGGTTAATACTGTTAAAGAGTCACCTCTTCTATGTAGCACAATGTCTGACCGTGTGCTCCGCAATGGTTCCCATGCTGTGCGACACATGAATGATGTACTTACTTATTCACCAAGCTTTGTGTCAGCTACCTGGCCGTAGGCTCAGTTTACAGATGTAAAACATGTAGTTTATCTGTGAATGTACGAGCACTGCACTGACAGATGAAAGGTCAAACTGAAACACACGTGAAACACAAGTGGGTGGAGCGGAAAACTGTAAACACCAACTGTGCTCTCTCCGGCTTACCTTCTGACTTCATTTATGAGATAGATGAGTTAGCTGGGTCGTACATCAAATGGTGGATAAGATCAACAAAAATGTCCCCTTGACGCACAGAACTTGAAACGCAAAATGCGATGCTACCTTCACGCATTTCTCCTGTGCGTGCTTTTTACCTTCTTCTCACTGTTGTATGTGTTCAATCAGCTAGCCTCCACCTTGGAGGACAGAGACGACTGGGAGCTGAAAGAACAGGGGACACCCGACAGGAGCAGTCATGACGGCGGGCACCTGCTCAGGAAAATGCCAGGCCTCACAGGCCTTCGAGACCGCGAAGGGCTTGACAGGTAGCTTAGCCAGCTAATCTGTCACCTAGCGTTAATGTGATTTCACAGTGGGTTAGCTAGCAGTTAGCTTCTAGCTACATTTAGTTGCTGTAAAGTTAGGGTGAATGAAATAATATGTTAGTTGACTTGCTACAGCTAAGGTTAACTATATTAGCTAACGTTAACGGCAAAGTTAACTGACTGTCTGATAGCAACGTTGTCTTATGCATATATATTAGCTTCCACTTGTTAGCTAGCTAGGTTAATCGATTAACCATTACAACGTGCCTCATTAGCTTTAGGCTGGATTTAAAAAGGACGGCCACCTGTTAAACCACTAACCATATGAGGCAGTTCAGGACAGATCTAATCCCAAAACATGTTAGTTCTGATGTCCAAGAGATCAATCTGACGTTGAGGATCCGAAGGGTAATGTTTTTATTCTGGCAGGTGTAAATCACTGTCAGTTTCTTACTGGGATCCATATTGGAGACTGCCTGCTGATGTTTGTGGAGTGAACTGCTTATTGGAATCATCTCTTAGGTATGACTGATTTTGTGCATCTCTATAAAAAAACATACCAGTGCTCTTTAATAATCAATAGTTTTCAATTTAAAACTTAAAACCTACTTCCTAGGTCCACAGTGCAGTCTAAATGCTGGGACTATTGTTGCATTTACAGTGTACCTTTGGACTACTTTTTACTTTCTATGAGTGCAAGCTGTTCTCAGAAATCAAATATGCTGACATTTCAGGATGTGACACTTTGACATCTCATGATGATTGTGTGTACTTAAAGGCTGTGCCAACCTTCTTCTACATTACATTTTAACCTCTGTTTTATTGTCATAGATATTCACATTCACACACAGGCCATTAATCATGTCAGTATCTTATCAACAGCCCCTTTTTATCATCTCTAATCCAATAATCTGGTCATAAGCAGATAATGATTATAAAGGTCTTGAGGCTTTCTTTAGTCTGTCTTGCTACACTTTAACCTATACTAGCATATCAGATTAGTCGGCTTGCCATTCTACGATATGTGTACATAGATATGATTGAAACTTGTGTCTAAAGTGGCAGCGCAAAGTATGAGTGATTGTCCTGTTCTACGTCTATTCATTAAACCTAATGACAGTTCCAAACCTACAGAGCTGAGCACCAGACAGCTGAGCCTGCTGATATCTTAATTACTTTGTTCTCTCCTGCACTTGTGTATCCACTCAGCTGTTGTAAATAATAAATAGTAATAATAAATAAATAATGAAAGCCAGGATTTATTACTGATTAAGTGTACTTTGTCTTTGCTCTTAGAGAGAGGGCAGGCTCTGCAGTCAAGGAACATAATGATGGGAGAAGTCACCTGGCTGTGGTGGCCTGTGGCCCCCGGCTAGAAGAGACTCTCACCATGTTAAAGTCTGCTGTTCTCCTCAGCAAAAATCCTCTACACTTTTACATCTTTGCTGAGGATGATCTACATGACAGCTTCAGAAATGCTGTAAGTGTCCTCTCCCAACAGCACCAGAATTCTCATCTACTTGTTTATTTATTGTCTCGTTGTACACAATAGTACAGTTATGACTTAATCTGTGTAAATGATTTCGCATGCAATTGTCAACTGGTGTATACAGCATCACTTTAAGGAGGCATTTTTGCAACCATTGCACAAATTATACAAGCAAACTCAGGGCACGCTTTAGAAACAGTCTGTTTTTACAGTAAAGTCTTCCTTTTATACAGTTAGACTCACATTTTAGCTCAAATGCTCACTCTTTTAAATGCATTTTTAACAATTCAAAACTCAAACTTCACATGTGGATATTGTTAAGGTACAATTTTTCTTTGGGCTTGTCTTTTCTTAAAGCTGGATTCCTGGCCCAGGACAGTTCAGACCAAGTTCAACTTCACCATCTACCCCATCACTTTTCCCAAGGAGAATGCAAGGGAGTGGAAGAAGCTCTTCAAACCTTGTGCCTCTCAGAGGCTCTTCTTGCCAGTAGGTCTAGAGTCGTCCTTCATATAACTTGTAACAATTGCATATTTGACAAATGTGCTCATGACTTTTTTGTCGTCTGTTTACCAGCTGATCCTGAAGGAGGTGGATTCCTTGCTCTATGTGGACACCGATATCCTTTTTCTGCAGCCGGTAGAGGACATCTGGGCCCTCCTTTCTCAGTTCAATTCGAGCCAATTAGCTGCCATGGCCCCAGAGCACGAAGAGCCACGCATCGGCTGGTACAACCGTTTTGCCCGCCACCCCTACTATGGCAAGACAGGCATCAACTCAGGAGTCATGCTCATGAACATGACACGCCTCAGGGAAAAATTTTTTCAGGTAATGTTTAGGAAAACAATTTGTATGTGTGTTATTTTTTTTGCAGTATGTTATCCACTGTCAGCTGTTGGTGTGTGCTAAAGCTGCTAAACTTCATCTTGCCAATTTAATACACGAGTGATGGTCATTCTGACATTAAAATGCAGAATATGGATAAGTGCTCACATGTGAAGGCAAAGAGTACTAAGCAGGTGTTAAATGCATGTTTTTATACCACATTAATTCCACAGGATTGTTTATTAGAAAAGCATGGCTCAGTGTTGATGCAAACAAGTCAATGTCGGTAGGTTGAGTATTATGTCATATTATCCAGTCACATTAAACATCAACATCTTTACATTTGGTTAACGATTTAAACAACTAGAGATGTGTGAAGAATACTGAAGGAGTAGCTGTACCACCAAGAATGACCAGCTGAGGTCACTCTTGTAATTCTTTTGTAAACTGTCACAATGAGTATACTCAAAGGAGAGACAGAACAGTTTCTTTGAGTTGACGTGAAGTGTTGACAAAGGCATTCATTTTCCAGAATTGTAGGTTTGGTTTCCTGATGCAAAATGATACGAATGCACTCTTGATTGCTATATTTTTTCCATCTAGAATGACATGACAACAGTTGCACTGCGGTGGGAGGAAATTCTGATGCCCCTTCTCCAGAAGTATAAACTCAACATCACCTGGGGTGACCAGGACCTTCTTAATATCATATTTCACCATAACCCAGGTTTGTGCAACCACATTAATCGCATTATTTGAAGTCATGAATGTTACGTATAACACAAACGAGGCTTCAATAAAGACGTTTGTTGCTTTGGACATTCATCATCAAATAAAGAAATATTTGAGGGTTTGTAATTGAATTTATTATCTTTATCAACCCAATCATGTCTATTGTTGTGTTCCAGAAAGCCTGTTTGTGTTCCCCTGTCAGTGGAACTACCGTCCAGACCACTGTATCTATGGTAGCAACTGTCAACAGGCTGAACAAGAAGGTGTCTTCATTCTCCATGGTAACAGGGGGGTTTACCATGATGATAAGCAGCCAGCTTTTCGGGCTGTCTACGAGGCCATCCAAAAGGTAGAGACAGTCTCTTTAATCAGAAATATGTTTTATCTGAGCCCCGAAAACACGAAAGAAGGGTCTAAACAATTTATTGACACATCCTCTGAGTCCCTACAGTAAAATAAAAATAACTTACTCAAGGGTTCTTATTTGTGTCTGTAAAAATCAGAATATATATATTAGTATATTTATTCCTCAAAAGTTTTTGTCATATTACAGACACAGGAAACTTAATGTGGAAGTAATTTATGAACGACTTTGTTTATTCTAGAGGGGAATGATCATCTTTATTGACTTTCTTTCTGGTGCCTCTGTTTCTTTAGAGAGCAGTTGTGTAGGCAGACCAGACTATTTGGAGAAACATTTACTAGTCATTATATTATCAATAGGCACTCCAGGCCATTGCTTTTCTCTTATGGATGCTTCCGTCCACCAATGCTTAATCAATAGCCTGTTAAACATTTCAGTCATCCTGTCTTAGTTCTTCCAAACCAGACAAATCTGCCCCACCTTGCTTCGTCTGCTGGAATGGCAGCTTGAGACGTTGTCAACAGAAAGATTAAAATTCATTAAGTGCATTGCAGAGTTGATATACCATATAATTTAAGGCATTCTTCAACAGTTCTGTGGGTACATTACTGATTGTTAAAGTATCAGTATCGTTATTTATAGGCCAACTTTAGATCATTCTTAACACAGTCAGTGCCACCATGACTGAGAATAATTGAAAAAAATAAATCAATTTTTAGGCCGATTCTTTACACTTACTGAGTGTGACTGCTTTCCAGTAAAACAAATATACATGCCTACTTAAAGGATTAGGCTGTTTTTGTTATTGTCCACACATCCCATGAAAAGGCCAAAGTTACTACTTAAAGTCAGTCTCTAAATACCTTCCAACTTCCCAGTTCATTCCTCCCCAATTAAATCGTAAATCTTTTAAAAACAGGTTTTAAAAACACTAATTAATTTCCTAAAACAGCTGGGCAGTGTTGTTATTCAGCAAATATTACTGTAGCAGGAGTAAATGGTGTATTTGTTGGGCTTTGCTCTGGACTTTAGTAATTTATGGCAGCAGGATGGTGTATGTGGGACTGACGCAAAATAAACTACAGTGCCTGTGGTCATCATAACAAAGAAACATGTTAGCCAGGGCTTTTTGATGTTTTTTTTAATAGTTTGGACAACAATGGAGGCCAATAGACCAGAATACATGTTAGGTGGAGCAATTCATCACTGATTTTGGTCTTTTCACTCGATTTGTTGACAATAATATAGAATCACCACCCTCATCCTTTGATATCTTCCTCTTGGGTTTGTGCTTAGACCTGATTTCACTATGTTGGAATAGCTGGTGAGGTCTGGCTGTTTCTTTCATGCCTTCTGTCAAATCTTTATCAGAACTGTAGCATCCTTAAGTTGGGATGACAACCAACAGAGCACTGGCAGTGCATTGCTGGCACTTCAAAAAACTGAAGCCAGAACTTGGATTAAAAAAGTATAGCATCTGTCAAATTTACTCTAGAACGTTTCAGCTTTTAAAGCTTAAAAGTCCACTACACATCCGTCATCAGTGAGCAAACAAGTCAGCTGGAGAGCTCTCTCGCTGCTGTGCTGGCAGCACGCCTTCGATTTGCTCGTGTTGATTTCTGCACACCGGTCAACATGCAGGCAGCAATCGGGGGAGCAAGGGAAGCTTCATTAGCTGGTCTCCATCCATTACCACCACAGGGCCCGGCCCGTCCACTATCATTGCGGGCAATGTTCTCAGCCATTAGGTAAACGAGCTGGCTTCATTATGGGGCACTCGGTCCTCATGCCTCCATCAGTCTCTGACAACACACACACACATACACACACATACAGTGTCCAAGACAGCACATACCAGCCTCCACCTGATTTTAGGAGGTGGAGTGCTGTGGTTTGTCATTAGTAAGCATAATACCTGTCCCATATTAAGTAGATAGATGTGAGAATCAGGTCTTTTATGTACAATTAGCTCATTAGAAAACACACCATGGTCTAACTCAAGAGTGTTTCAACCTTTTTGTTGTTATAAGCTATATTTTGTTGAAGCTTTTATGTGCGCTTCCTGTTGCTCCTGCTCCTCAGGCCCCCCTCCCACTTTATTCCCACTCAGTCCTTTGAGGACAGCATCCTAAAGCCTGGAGCAGGCAATTCTGGAGGAAACTCTCATTTCCATCCCACCAAGAGCTCCTTAGTCAGCCCAGCTCCCAGGGCAGGCTCTCCCAGACAGCAGTGGAGCTTGCAATAAAGGGCACTACCATTACCCAGCCAAGCCCACAAAAGAGTTGTAAAAATTTTAGTGCTGATGCTAGTTTGAGACATCATGATGGCTGTGTGAACAATGCACCAGCAGCATCCACATAAAAATCGATAGGAGGCTGTTAATGGTGCTTTATTGCCTGCTGCAGTATATGAAAGATAATAAAGAAAGTGTGCTTTGAGTAACCTAATGCTTGGCCAAACTGGAGTCAAATGAGATGCTGTAAAATAGTGATTTCTTCTTATTTACTAGAGCAGTAAAAGAATGGTGCAGCTCCATATAAAAACCAAAGGCCTGCATTACATACTGGTCGTACCTTATTTACATACTGTACATGACAAAAGCCTTGGCTGCTAAAATTAACTGGCTGAGGAGCTGGAAGTTTTATCTTAGCCGTTCACTTGGTGACAGAAAAGCATACAATAATGAAGCATATCTGGAATGCCGCCGCAGCTGTAGCTTTAACCAATGCTGTCACGCCTTGCTGAGTCCATTCTTGTGTAGTTGTGGTAATAGATATTCATCATCCAAACACACTCTGAATTGACATATATGAATCAAATGCAGAATGTTATTGTTTTGAACTGACAGTGATAAATGTGGCACTTAATTCATGTGATTTGAATGCAGTTCTTATGGTTCCATCATGGCCGTCACAGGAGGCAACAGGTGTAAAAAACACACAATTCTGCAATTCTGCTTTGTTTAAAAAGCACGCTTTGAGTATTTCTTGAGTGATGTTTAAAGTGGGTGCAGCCACCAGAGACACATTACCGTGGATGTGCAAAGCTGTCATAAAATCTGGTCTAAAAATAATCAGAAATGTAATACCAGTACATTTTTTCTTTTGATCGCAGTACCCATTCGGTGAGAACATGGAGACCTCGCTGCTTCGGCCGCTGGAGGCGTCACTGCAGACCACCACAAATACCTACTGTGGAAGAGCCAGTCACCTGTTTACCAAGAAGTTAAAACAGAGCATCATGTCTGTTCAGCAAGAAGTCACACGGAGAAGATGATCAGTACGGCGTTCTAATATCATTCCATAATTAGTGTCTAATTAGTGACTTGGATTTAAGACACTCCTGTGGAGACAGTGAGCTGGAAACAGACTCAGGTTAACACTGAACCATCGTCTGTTTACAGACTGCATATCGAGACTGTGGAAATGGGGAAGGGTAATCTGTGGAACAGGTTAGATTTTTGTATTTTAAAGTGAAGCCAATTGTTTTTACATAATCTGTCCAGTGAACACACAATCAGGTTACAAATGCTTTCTCACCGTGGTGGAAAATGCACTGAATCCACTTTGCCCTGTAGAGATTTTGGACTTTGTAGCTGACAAGAAGAACACTTGTCTCTATTCCAGACAATCAGGTGTTATTTTTTATTTTCTTATTTCAAGAAATACCTTGCAATCACTTTGTACAAATGTCTAACGTCTAAGGAGGGAACAGAAATGCAGCAGGGTACAAACACACTTATCCAGAGTATTTTATTAGAGTTTTAATATAATTTTGCATACAATATTTGTACTAGTGTTTTTGTCACTGCAGTGTTCACGGGAAAGGGTTGTCATTAATTTCAGGTACTTGTTAGTTACGTAAGAATTCTCCGTTTTTTATTGAACTGAACAAATGGTCATACTTTAAACTTGTATAATCTGATCAGTATTTATTACTGTTGGACATGTTGCAGGAAGCACTTTTGATGTCTTTGTTAAAAATGTAACACGGGGCTATCATTTCATGTACTCTGGTATGGGAGTTTTCAAAGCATTGTTTACTGTACATTATCACTATTACATTGTATTAGTGTTTAAATAATTTTAGTAACTTTACTAATAACGACACATTTTCCAAAAACTGGAACAATGGAACAAAAGGAAGCTGTTATTTTTCAATCAAGCCAGCAAGTCTTAAAATCTCCTCGGATGGAGGTTTATTAAGAATTTGCACTATTGATTTGAGAAATTGAGTATTGTAACAAAACAAAATCTTATATGTGATGTTAATGTTTTACTGAAAATCCAGCATAGACACTCAAATGTATATCAACTGAATGGGAAATAAATATTTTATTGAAACGCATTTCTAATGGTGGCTATGATGCAGTATGTGGTATCTCTAAAATACATACGCTTGTGATAAGGTTCAATTGAAAAATTCACTGCATTTTAAATGTGACAGCTCTTCAGTATGTGATAGTGGTTAGAATTTCATTTTGTTGCTTTAACAATAAACATACAGTATTTTAAGCTGCAAATAAACTTTACATCACAAGAGCCCCTAAAAGCATTACCAAAATTTGGGGCTTATTGTGTTAAAGGTTTCATTTGGAAACGCTCGGTTCTCAGTTTCTTACATTTTATTTTGTGTTCTTATTAAGTCTTTTGCATCAGCCAGCATAACTACTTTGCATAAACTGTACTTGTTGCCCACTCACTCCACACAAAGACCGAGCATGAGCCATGTCCTAGAAGGCAGCAGCAAGCTGAAAAAAGGAAATTAAACTGTGAGTGTGAAGACTTCAGAAAGTGTTGTTAGATGGCCAAAAAGGAGCTGATGTGTCTGGGTCAGCAGCCTCTGGCTCTTCATTTCACAGGCAGATTGACAGACGTGCCTGGAATAGGCAATAGATCTGCATGATGAATTTAAAATGGTCTCTCTTCTAAGAAGCTGTTCGATATATTCAGATTCCTTGAAGAGGAATTAAAGGGTGCAATAAGTTTTTTGTTTCTTCAGAAGAACTTATGCCTTCACAAGTTTTACATCTTAAGCTAAAATTTTACTATGCTGGTAGAAACCCAGTACAACAGTAATTCTAAAAGATTTGCGTATTAGGCAATTAATGGCTGAATCCACTCTAGGCTAATGAGCAATAACAGAGTTTAGGATTTTGATTTCATTGGGAAAATAGGGTCAAAGGGGTCGATCACTTCAAACCTTGGAGCAATTTTCTTCTACTAAGTATTGGGTCGTACAGTATGCTGCCGGCTATAAGGAAGACTTATACACCGCAACCCCATACACAACAGGCTACAATGCACTGTGTGTTCTGACACCTTTCTATCAGAACCAGCATTAACTGTTTCAGCAGTTTGAGCTTCAGTAGCTCGTCTGTTGGATCGGACCACAAGGGCCAGCCTTCGTTCCCCACGTGCATCAATGAGCCTTGGCCACCCATGACCATGTCTCCGGTTCACCCCTTTTCCTTCCTTGGACCACTTTTGATAGCTACTGACCACTGCAGACCGTGAACACCCCGATTTGGCCCTTGTCAAAGTCGCTAAAATCCTCAAGCTGCCCATTTTTCCTGCTTCTACCACATCAACTTTGAGGACAAAATGTTCACTTGTTGCCTTATATATCCCCCCCACTGACAGGTGCCATGATAACCAGATAATCAGTGTTATTCACTTCACCTGTCAGTGCTCAGAATCTTATGGCTGATCGGTGTACAATGGCTCTGGTTCAAATTTTTTACATAGAAGCTCATAGTCCTTTTTCTACTCCCACTTACAGCAATATCTTAAAGGGGTTAAGCTAGTTCATATTTTGGTTTACTATGTTGATACAAAAAGCCCTGCACAAAAAAACTCTAGTGGTCAATTTATTTCTCCCATGAAGTGATTTGCAGAGAAAAGCTCAATGATATTATTGAATACCTTCAGCGCAACCCTTAGTTAGATACTGTAGATGTTTACAACTTAAATATGCAAAGCATATTCAGGTTTTAGGGGGAAAGGCTAATTCTGCTACTGCCTGGTTTCACTCCCTAAGTATAATGGTGATTGAGGTCTCATTCTCTATCAGTATAACAGGAACTACCAATGGATTATTCATGTTATTGCTTGCAGCACTTGGCCTCCGTAATGTTCAATAACGATTTAAAGCTCAGGCATAAATTAAAACAGTCACAGGCAAATGGCCCAACACAGAGTAAAAAGGGTCACAAAGTAAGGATTATGCAATATTAGGCAGCACAAAGTGATCAACATCCTCTTTACTTCGGGAGAGAAGTTATGTGCAGAGGACATTTAGAGTTTAAAGATGACAGGATCTGTTTTTCAGAGTGCAGAGTCCATTAGATCTGGGACCAGATGTAAAAATGATGTGTACTCACAAAAATGATGTATACACCATTTCCCACCAATAAACCTGAATTTAGTAGATTGTCCATTGACGATGTGTGTGCAGACCACGCATATACACAGTTTTCTATAGAGGCTGATTATATATACTATTGCACAGCTGGCATTTAAACTTGCAATAACAATTTATTTTACTACTTGGGGACAGCGGAAACAAGTTGTGAACACAACATTGACAGAGCATCACCTTTCACATTAATGTGGCAAAATTGTTGACAATTTACATATCCAGCAGTTATGCAACATTATCTTCCAGATGACTTACCCTGCCAATGTAAGTCCTATATTTACTCATCTTTTAGCTCCATTTTATCTACCTACCCCTGAGGGAAATAAATGCCTCTTTAGTTGCTAAAGTCTCCACTGTGTTCACCAACTAGTTGCTAACTGTGTCTGTCTGCTCTTTGGTGCTGAAGAACAAACTCCTCTTGCTGTAACTGAAATATAAATATAGGGACATTAGGAATGTGGTGTACTTAAAATATCACAACAAAGTAGTGTACAAGGCATTCAAGCAAGGGAATAATGTTTTTTATCCCAAAATAAAATCCCAAAACAAAACAAATTAGAGATAAGAACTTAAAATTTATACTTGGACACAGCTTCTGCACATTTTATATTATTTTTTATATTATTACTCTAAATGTCCCTGTTTAGTCTATCAAGTCAGTTTGAAGCTTATATTAATCTAGTTATCTACTTAAAGCAGCATTATGGATTTTTTGGGCCTATATATTTCTCATACCTAATAACCTTATACAAAAGTTGGTAAAATATTTGGTCTCCACCAACTCCTGAGAAAGACGACTGGATCTTTAATTTGCTAAATGCTCCTTCAAGTTTGTCTGTTGATGCTGGACAGGTAGGGTAGAGTGAGTTTATCAGAGCTATAGTTCTGGAAAGTGGCTCAAAATCAACCATACAGTTCAATAAGGAAAGTGCATAACAATATCCACTGACGTAATGGATGTGAAGCATCTTCATTTAGAGTTGGCCCAGGATCCACCAGAGACTACAGGCTTGTAGAGGTGGAGTGAAGCCACCAGCAAAAAGACTGAATCTCTCAGCTGAAACTTGTGGAACATCCTGGAGCTAATTTTGGTGATTTGGAAGTATTGGATTGTTTAAGAAATGGATGGCATTTATATTTGAAGAAAAGCATCAACGGGCTGAAAGTAGGCAAACAGTCAGTGGTCAGTTAAGATGATATCAGAATTTGTGAATGTATGTTACTTTGGAAGTATGACAAAAGCAGAAGTGATGGAGAAGATAAGAGTGGGGAGGAAAAGCAAGAAGAAGAAATTCCACTGCAGAGTAATAAAGGTAAACAATGAGAGAAGTATTTGTTATTGAACTAAAGGAGACTTAAAAGCCTGAAAAGAGCTGTGGAATTGGATGATGATCCACTGTGTTTTCAGAGTTTAAGGGAGGCCTCATACAGATAATTTACATTAAATAAAAGAGCTGTTGAGGCTTCCATCGATAAAACATATTACCTGATACGTGATGTGACAGCACAAAGGTTTTACTCATCAAGGCTTCTAAAGAAAGACTGATCCTCGATGTGCTCACTTTGCAAGACAGCACTTCTGAGTGAGGATGAGACTCCAGTTAGTCAAGACATGAACCTGACAGCGAGTCATGTATCTTGTCAGTTTGATAAACTGAACGAAGTGAGGATGAGAGGTAAGTGCGAAGTTTATCACAGTTGAATGGACCAGGTAGAAAATCTGTTTTCCTCTCTCTGCTCCCTACCTTTCCCGCTGCACAAGTATATAATTTAACTAGTGAACGTTTTGATCAATAATACATTTGCCAGCACTGCTGAGACAGGTATAATTGTGCTGATATGTCAGGGTTTAAAACAATTAATGTAATTTACCGTTGAGCATTAGCCATGCATTGATCAATCAGTATCATGCTCGGAAGTAAATTTGCCACTGTAAGCAGAGCAACATGGGGAATTTGCATATAGAAATTAAATGAAATTGCTAGTTCATTGCCTATGGTCAAAGTAAAGATATCATCTTATCATTTTACAGTTACTGATAGACTTCTTTCTTATTTCATTTAAACTTTGGAGGAACAAGATTGTACCTTGGTACAGCAATACTTGCTAGACAATGCTAACATGCTGATGTTTAGCAGGTGTTATACCATGTTTACTGTCTTAGTTTAGCATGTAAACATGCTAACATTTGCTAATTAGCACCCAAAGTACATCTGGGGCTGATGATAATGCCATTAGCTTTGTGTTTGGCCATAAACAAAAATATTGGAGAAATGTAACTTTTGACCTGAAATGTCGGGTAACTCACCAAAGTTATTTCAACTCTTCCTGAGACCAGGTGTTTCCAAACTTCAACCATTTTCATGTCAGTATTATTTTGATTTAAAATTGCAGGTGTGTAAGTATTTTTTCTCTGGTCATGGTATTAACACTGAAAGATATTACGAGAAATATGGTGACATAATTGAGCGTGAATTTACTCAGCTCGCCTAATCAAGGTAAAAATATTAATTTATAGATCATGAAAATCTATTAGTGCAACTCAAAGAAAGTCAGGAAGGGCTGAGGTCACCATTTGGGACACCAAATGCAGAAGGGCAGAATAGGGAAGCATGGTTTCCACTCAGAACATGTAATAAACCTACTCTTAATATGCTTTTTTAATCAATAAAATCATATAATTAATGTATTTAAATGTTTTGACAAAATGGAACCTATTTATACACTTTGTTTCAAGTGTTATAAAAATAAAAGTAAAATCTAAAGGTCCTGTGTGTAGGATTTAGTCTGGTATAGTGGTGTGGTTGTAGATTGCAACTCCCCCGCTTCACCCTCCTTTTTCAAATGTGAAGGAGAAACTACGGTGGCCACGAAATGTGCAAAAAACGGAAACGGCCCTAACTAGTGCCAGTGTTTGGTTGTCCCTT